GCGCATCACTTGCTCTCGCAGATGCAGGAATTGAAATGTATGATATGGTGCTCGGTTGTTCCATCCGCCAGAATGGCGCTTCCTATGTGGTTGACCCTACTTATGTGGAGGAGAACAGTTGCACTTCAGTCAGCAGCGAGAACCAGGGTGGTCTGACTGTTGCATTCCTCCCCAGCCTGAATCAGATTTCTGGGCTGCAGTCAGATGGAGAAATGACTGAAGAGACTATTACAGCCGGGGTTTGGACCTGCATTGAGGGATGCTATAAACTGTACCCGGTCATCCAGCATGCCCTGACCAGGGCTGTGCGCAAGGCTGCTCCTCCACCATCAGAGAGTTAAAGGACTCATTAACTAATAACTGTCCATTTAAAAAAATTTTTCTGGTCTACGATTTCCAGTCCTTACTTCAAATACATTTTTTTTTCAATATTTACTATGATGTTCTTTAAATGAAAATGCATAGCAGTCATTTATTTTGCTTTTTGCAACTGTTGCTGTTGCTGTCACAGCGTTGTGGAGATTAGGGTTTAAGACTGTTTAAATCTGTGCTGTCTGGAACAAAATTACATGGCTTCTGTGTTGCTGTGATCTGAAAGTGCAGTTTAAACTGTACTTGTGTTTTGGCCTAAAATCAGTTGCTTTGTCCTTTAGAAATAACTTTAATGCTACTAGAGGTCACCCTTAATCCTATTCTAACAGAGGTTTAAATGAAAGCTGGGGGTACATTCCATGATTCCATGATGAAGGACATCTGACTGCTTTCATTTTTGCTCTGAGGAGCAAGGAGGTTGCCTGGAGGCCAAGCCAAGGATGCTGGAGTGCACCCTTCACAGAAGTCTGTTACAGATTGACACACCCCTTTACTGGAAATAAGTTTGTGATTGGATGCTTTACGTTAAGGACTGGAGGAAAGGACATCTCATCAGTTTTAATGTTTATCCTCATTCCTCTCTCCTCGCAGTTTGTACTTGTTTTTTCCTTGCATTTTATGTGGGTGGGAAGACACAAGGAAAAGAAACATAGCTGCATTTAGTGGAATTGGCATTCACCTGAGGATATGTGAGATGTCCTTTCTTCAAATCCTTAATATAATCATCTAGTTAGTCATCTGATTTCCAATAAAGCTATGTGTCAGTCCATAGAAGACTTCCTCAAAGAATGCTCTCGTATAACATCACCTGTAGCTCCTCTAGGCAGCCTCCTTGCTCCAATCAAGCAGATAGAAGTATAAGAGTCTTAGGACATCCTTGATCCTTGCTCGACCCAGAAGTCGTTCCAGTGAAGTGAGAAACAAGGAAACTTGGGATGTATCCCTATACTGCTTCACAAATCATTTAGTTTTATAAAAGCTGCTTCAAGCTGTTAACAATATATTCCACTAAAACACCCTAAATTGGGATACTCTGACACCCTAGGGGTTCCTTGTGTGGCTGGGGACCTTTGTTGTGTCATCATTCCATTGCCACTCACTCTCCCCTCCTTTCCTGTCAGCTCTCTAATACAGTATTCACTGGCATATGCTTGGAGAAAATACAATGAGCTGCACAGTTTAATGATTGAATGATGGTTGTAGGACTTGATTTAAAAAGCATACAGACACAAAATGAGCAGAGGAACAATGTTAGAGCTTGTAGAAGACATGATAACATTAACTATTAAACAATTAAAATGTTTTGACTGCCTTTTTACTATTATTTCTTTAGACACTGTAGTACTGTAATGCATATATTGCAAAATAGGAAACATTTGGCCTCGATTTCTTTCATCATCGTGCTATATGAATAGTATATTTCCCAAGTTAAATAAACACCTGAGTAGCTAATAACATTCTTTTAGCTTACTTTCAGTGCCACCTATATCATAATGGCAATTGTATTCCACTGAAAGTATTTGTTTGTCTCTGATAAAACTGTTATTATATTTTACATTATTAATTTCTCCTCAAAACATTTTTTTATCAGTACAAAAACCTATACCACCTATTTTTTTTTTATAGAGACCACACCAAGCACCAAACCCTTTTAGTTTAACAGGAATTTTGACACTGGCATAAAAAATCTTGGCAGGATGGATGGTGTCCATTCTTACTAAATATATAACTGGTATAATCCTGTAACCCGTATTGTGTTTGCTTTTAAACTTCTGTTCATCACATTCATTTTTAGAGTATCAGGGTGCTACAGTCTGGAGCTCCCAGATCATCTGAAATGACTGAAGTGAATAAGGAACCGTTTCAGTGCCACGGACAGCATCCATAAAAGAGCAGACCTCTGCTGCAGTGGATGACCAGTGCAGCTGGATGCTGTCCATGGTGCTGAACCACTGTTCCAGACACAGTTTAGTCTGCTTTCTCTCAGGTTCCTGGTCTTTTTTCATTTTCTGTCACAATAAAGGCCTATTTATTTATATTTAATTCATGTTTAAAAACTGAATGAAGAGTGAATCAGTCTTCTGTGTTTGTCACTTCTAGCACTATTAATGTCTTTCTACATCCATGGGTCCTTCTCCAGAGTCATCGTTTGGAACTATCTTAATAATTTCACAGGGTACTTTCTTATCTGGGTGACAAGATGATGTGGATTTTCCCAATTCTACAAATGTGTCATTTTTAATAAATGAGTGCTGCAGAGCTTCACTGCACTGGTTTTCTTATCAAAATCTGAATGTAGTATCCGTTTCAGCAGGTTCAGAAATGCCCGTGTCATTATACTCTGATTCAGTTTTTGCTTTTGGATGGTATATTGTCAGGTCATTTAGAGACAGAATACCACACTCATCATGTGTTATTTTAAAGTCACATTCATTATCACTGTTGGAAAAAAAAGTATGGGTTTTGATCCCTGCACTCAGCATTTGCTGGCTTTGTTGACCCTGAAATGATGTCATATTCACACACTGCAACTCTGTACAGGTGCCTGCAAGGTATAGAAAACAACAACAAAAACAAAAAGGTGACCTGCATGGGCTTGCTTTCATTGTTTTCATAGGCCATAAGACCCGCACTGAAATCTAGGCTATCAGTTTAATTTTAAAGGGTTGCTCCCTGTGGTCCACCAGCATGACATTGTCAGGCTTTTTATCGGTGTGACATCACTTTAAGTGCATCCAGTTGGGCAAGGATCTGTTGTGCTATTGGCTGGATTTTCTTTGTACATTCCATTCTGGAATATTTCCAGCACTGTATGT